AATACTAACTTTTCTCAGCATTGTCCTGTTTTACTCCAGTGGGTTATTAGTGACGTTTAAAATAGAACCTGGTGTGTTGGAGGTAGTGGGTGGAGGTGCAGAAGGGAAAGGGGAAAAGGGTCAGTAAGAAAATACCAGGTAAACTTTTGATGATCTATTGGGAAATCCTACTCAAATTTTACTTTCCCCAACTTTTAAAGCATTTAGTGTTTAAGTTAGTGTTTCAGTTCACTGCTGCTTGCTGTGCCAAACTTTACCTAAATATTGTGTATAGGCAAATAAACAATTCATTTTCAGCAATTGATTGAAGTTTAAGGTATCAAGACATGTATGGATGCCTGTAGAGTCAGTTTTTCATATGTGTGGGATTACAACTGTTAATACCATCATCACTGAAACTGTACCTTCCTACAACTAACAGCAGTAAAGTATCTATGGAATATATTAATGTAACAGTTCTTCTGATTTAAAGTTATTACTTGGTATTTGGTTGGAAAAATATTTGTATATTACAGATAACTGCGTTAACATCATATATGAGGGCTAATTATGGATTTCTAATGTGACTTATATTTTTAAAAATCCACAAGATGTATTTATACTTAATACATCTTCTTAAAAATTTGATGGAATATTGAAAATTTATAATCTATATTGTGAACAAAACAAAATAAAAACTCAACTACCATAGCAGTTAGAACTGCTTAAGAAGGTAGACAGAAATGTAGTTCACCTTGAAAATAATCATGGCTTAGGGAATAAAGAAATTGGGTCAAGCCTAAAATAAATGCAGGTACAATGACAAAAACTTTTAATAAAATTTAAAAATATTCACAGAATTGGTTTCAGGCTACTTTGTTCTCTGTAATTTTATCAGAGCATTATTAGTTTTTAAGTACAAAGGCACTTTTTCATTTTGGTAAATATGTATGAAATGCTGTTGTAGTTGTTCACTGTGTATCACCATTTGATTGTAAATACAGTTTTTTTTGAAAGGAAAATAATTATTAAATAGATCATTTTGATCTCTGGTGATTTTCAGTATAATTTCAAGTGGTATAAAATTTCTATGTCATAGTTATCACTTTGACATATTTTATATTGCCAAATTTAATGTATAGCATTTAGCCTTGTATCCTTACATCATAGTATTGACAATGAATTAAACTTTCATAAAGCTTTAGTAGTATAGTAGATCCTCATTCATCTGGCATTCACTGGGGAATAAAACGTGCTGAAGAAATGAGTTTTTAAATTGAAACTTACTTGTTTAAGCAAAAAAAAAAAAAAACCTTAAAACTTGATAAAAATTTTTATGGTCTTTCAGTGAGCAAGACTGGATTAGCCATTTACTCTTAATGTCATATATCATCATTCTGGTATAATGCAGAAGGGCCATGGGCTTTCTGATTGGTTCCCCAATGTAAGGATCTTTTTTGTTGTTTCTTCCTAAAGAAGAAATGTCACACCCTTAATTGTGATATATTTAATGAATTTAAATGTTTCAGAGCTTGAGGTCTATGGTGATGCTATGATCTTGCTTTACCAGACTCATATACTGCAGCAGCTAAGGTACATTTCTGCGTGGTATCATCTGTTATTTTGTGCAGACATCTGCGCACAGCCTCTTGCCATAAACGGGATCCTCTTTTTGCTTGGAGTTAAGCCTATCAGTCTTGAGGCCTGGTACTGCTACTCCCAAACGTTTACTTCCTAGTAGTCATGGCTTCTTGTTGTTGTGCAAGGGGAACAAAAACGTCTGTACAACATTTACCCTACGTGCTTGTGAGGATCTGTGGTGTCAAAGTGACCACCTTTTAGTTTCCTCTGGTTGCTGCTAAAATGAGTAAATAGTGTACTCCCTTCACATTTTGGCCATTTTCACCAAAATAGCAAAAATCTTTTTTAACAAAGTTTTTTTTTAACCTCATGCCTATTTGTTTTAAGCAGTGCTTTCTAAAAGAAAACTCAAGCACAACGAAAATATTTGAGCCATTCTTTAATGTGCTGTTAGGACATTTGGTTTGAATCTTATATTTAAAATCAGCTTCCCCCCTTTACTTGAATCTAATGGGAATCATCTTTCTTCCAGGTTGTGCTTCAAGAAGACTACAGGGAGGAACACATTTTCCTCTTGCCACAAAAGTTGCAATAGAAGTAAGTGAGGAGGTGCCATATGTCTGTCTCCACAAAACACACAGAACAAATTTCCATGAATCAAAGCCACTAAGTATAGTTTTCAGAGGTGGTAGGACATAGTTACTTTCCCTAGAAAAATACCCAAAGTGCAGGCACACCCATTGGCCACCAGAAAAATGCCCAAGTAAATGCTAGTTCAAACCTGTACATTTCACTCTTCTTACTGAGCTATTTAAGGGGTGGATATGTACTATAGCTGTAATCTTTTTTTTTCCCTCTTTTCTATTTTTTGACCTCCCACACATCTGGTGTTCAGTTCTGCTTACTGTCTTGAATCTGTAGCAGCACCTACACATACTGCCTCCACAGTGGCTGATGGTTTGCAGATAACTTATGATTCAGATACATAAGAAACATCTGTAAAAAAAAGATGATACCTGCTCTAGATTAATCATGGAAAAGGTGGAGTAATGAAGAATCAGAAAGTATTTTTCCTCCTAATATTGGTATTACTTTCTTTGAGGTTTTATGAGTGAAATATTCTTTAGAGTGGTTTATGTCATATTCCATCACTTAGGGAAAAATCTCAGGTCATATTTACTAGAACCTTTTAGAGACCTTTTAAGGCTATACAGGACTATACACCTTAGAATGATTAGGTCAGAGGAAATGAAGCAAGATAGTAGATATCTTTGATGTGATCTAGTAAGCAAATTAATGTTCAACTGCTTTTATTCTGTCTCTCTTGAAATTTTTGATACGGTTTTTGAAATTGCCTTTTTTATTAGTCTCTCAGTTACTTTCTAGTAGTTTCCATCATTTAAAGGATTAATGGTTAGCACTTTGTTGAACTTGAAGGGAATTACTTAACATCCCATTATTATAGCAGAAGTCTCCAGCTTGCCTGAAAATACTGAGCTGCAAAGCTCAGTCTCTGAGCTCACTTCTTACTCACAAAACCTGTAAGGTTCTCGCATTCATATTTGAAATGTGAGCTGCTGATTTCAAATGTATGTATACATGCACCTTTGCCATGTCAAAATTTTTCTGGGTAGGGGACTATGGTTGAAAATAACTGTGTTTAAAATGATGGAGGGGACTCCACAATATCCTTTCTTCTTACGTAGAATGATTTATACTAATAAATGAAGGGTATAAATACTTTGTCACAAGGTGCAAGCTACTATGCTTCACATGCATTATCTTATTTTATCTTCACAGTGTGCCTCTGAGATTAGTACTGTTACCTATAGCTTAGAGAAGAAGAAACTGAATTCTACCAGATTAGGTAATTTGTCTAGAGTTGTACACAGCTAATAAGTGACAGAGCTAAAGTTCAAACTTGGATAACCCTGACCATAGGGTTCATGCCTTTCCACCTGAGAAATACTGCCTCTTATTTTGCATATAAGTGAACTTATACACACACACATACATTTGTGTGTGTATGTGTGTGTATATATATATGTGTGTGTGTATATATATATATACACATACATATTTGTGCTCATTGGAAGATTCAGATATCAAGAAAAAAACTCTTTTCAGTTCATCCATTTCTTTCCTAACCACTTGAAACATTTTGCTGTGAAATGCAATGTAAGTAGATATTGCTTTGACTGAGCAAGGTGAAGTATAGTTTTATTAGTGAAAGAACATTATTGAGTTGTTGAGACTACGAATTTTGTGAGAAAACATTAAGAAAAGTAATAGGCTGTTTAATGATTGGTATTAAGTCATAAAGGAAAATTCAAACATGAGGAATATTTTTTAAACAATATAGTATTTGTGTATACAGTGATATTCCTCCCTTATTTCTTAGATATAATTTGAAATGAACTTTTTTTCACATTAATACACATATTTTTATTTCACTGAGCACATAAACAAGAATTATACCATTAAAATGAGAATTAACTTGATAGCCAATTCTCCCATGATGAAATTTCACAATGTCTTTAATAATCCCTTTACTGCTACTTTATCCCTCTCAGTGGACTTCTTGTTTGAAGAAGGTTGTAGAAACCTTGCTTGTTCACAAGCATATAGCTTCACTCCATTTTCTTGGTGTTCTTTTGGGGATAGATATTGACAGTAGTGGGGAAGTGGTTAAGGTGCACTGAGTGGTGGAATATCCCAAGAAATTGTGTCCAAAGAGTTTTGACATGAGAACTGAGATTTAACTCCCTCACTGATCTAAAATGTTATGAATGTGCTTTCTTCTACACATAGGTTCATTGAAGAGTGATAACTGGTGAATTTAAAGATGCATTGCTATCAGAATTAAAGAGTCAAAGCATTTGTGAACTGGAAAGGGCTTACAAATGAAGGGCTCTTGGAGTGGAAATCTTAGGAGATGAGTTCAGTGATTTTTCAAGATTTAACTTCTAGATAAGGCAGGTTCTGAGATTATTGAATCAAGGTGCAGCCGTTCCAACTGGGAAATGACTGATGATAGTGGAAGAAGGCTTGAAACTTCCTGGAATAGAGCAAACTGAGTAATAATGGAAGTAATCTTAGGGTGTAAAAAAACAGAAATCAGAAAAGTAAAACAACCTTTATTTCTTCTTTTTAACATGAATGACACAAAAGTAGCAGTTACAAAAATGTAAACTTTAAATGTTATACACATTTTAAAAAAGTACGATAAACTTATTTTAAAAAAGGTATGACTATAAGTGATTTGTATTGTCCCTCTAAGCATAACATTTAAACTTAAAAAATCTATACACACACACACACATCATATATATATATATATACATACATACATACACATATATATGTATATGTATGCCTATGTATATTTGAAATTTTTCTCTTTTTTTTGTTCTTTAGAATCTGACAATTTGAAAGGGCCAATGAGTATTCTTATCATTGAGGCATTCTATGGAGGGTCCCATAAACAGCTTGTGGATCTGCTGCAAGAAGAGTTAGAAGACTGTGTCCTGTATACCCTTCCTGCTAAGAAATGGCACTGGAGAGCACGGACTTCAGCTCTATATTTCTCTCAGAATGTTCCCATCAGTGATCATTACAGGTAATTATAGCTTCTACAGGTAATTATATATCTTCATCTTGTTTTTAATGTTCCTGTTGTAAGACTGTTTCTCCTGTCGGCATCTTTGAGAATCCTAACAACTGTAGAAGTGATCATTTGACTGTGGTAGACATTCCTGAAGAGACAGCAGAGCATCAAAAGTACTGACACTCTAAGGGCACCTGACTGATAGTAAAGTGACCTCATTTAGAACCTGTATGCCATTTATTTTGTGATTTTTTTCATATGCATGAGTAAAGATGTGTGTAAGATTTTTTGGCATGAGATGAGAACTGATCTTGGATGACTTGGTTTATTTAGTTCCATGACCACCAATGCCTCCTTTTAGTGAGCATGCTATTTCAGTTCAGTTTATTATGTCTGCTACATACTAGGAGTTAGGGTTGAGAAAATGGATATGGCTAAGGTCTGTGCCCTCACAGGCCTCAAACACTACTGAGCTAGGGATTAACATGCAAGTCAAATGAGACTATGAAAGATGGAGAAGTCGGTTTTGACTGTGAGAAACTGAAGATGGCTTTATCGAATTGGCAACTTTTGATTACTTGAAGGATAAGTAGATTTTAGGAGACACAGACCTCAATTCTAAATTATACTTGGTGAGAAAGTGGGAACTAAGTTTGACCTATTAGAAAGAATTTTACTAGACACATTGAAAAGATAGATAAGAAATAGTGTCGACATTTTTAGGGGGAACAAGTAGACTAGAGCACTGCACTCCCACCCAACCTCCTACCAAGGCTACTACCTCTTTATTCTCTGTTCATGTGTACTGTCTTGTGTCTCTTAATTGTTAAATCATGGAATATTACCCTACTGTGGTTTACATGCCTGCTGTTCTTGCCATTCTGGGCCCCTCTGTGTAGGAATGCATTGTTTTAGGCAGGATGAGGAGTGCCAGGCTAGTAGTTAATGGAATTTGAGCAGACAGGTTGTTAGAGGAAGGGCATGCTGCAAGCTTCAGTGCCCACCTTGGCTTCCGCAGCCATACCCATCTGTTGTTTCTAAGGTGGAGCAGCCACAAGGGAGAGAGCAGCTCGTGATTTAAATATAGGCTGCTGTTCTTAGTAGTAATTTGAGGGATTCAGAGAAAACCCATTTTGTGTATGAAAACCGTACATCGTCTCTGAGAATTCAGATTGTCAGGTGGAAAAGCAGTTGAAAACTCAAGTCATGTTGCTTAGGATTTTACAGGTAAAATGCTGTTTTGGTGCATATTGAAAATTTTGTATTTTTTAAATCTAAGGTATATCTTTTCTTCCATAATTTAATGTTTTATATTATGTTATCAACAAGGAAATATTATTGATTCATCAGAAGTATGAGAAATATCAATGAATATATCAATATGAAATTTTTAAAGTCAATAAGACTATTGCTACATTAAAATATGATTGTTTACAGTTGCTTTCATATGTCCTATAATTGTGTTTTCTAAACAATAGCTTTGGGAGCTCTGGTAGCATAGTGGCTAAGACACTTGCCTGCTAACCAGACGGCTGGCGGTTCAAATCCACCAGCCACTCCTCGGAAGGAAGGTTGGGCAATCCTAATTCCGTAGTGATACTGCCTCGGAAACCCAAGGAGGGGTCGCTATGAGTCGGGGCCGACTCGACGGCACATAAAAACAACAACAACAACAAACAATAGCTTTATTGCTTCAGGTCAGGTATTCTGGGTGACTTTATGGCCCAGTTTCCTTTAAAATGACCATTGCATATAATGAATTTCTCCAGTTATTTGCACTTTGGAACAGACCCTTCTGTATCTACTGTTTGATTTCATTTTGATTATGTAGTTTTTCAGAATCAGTTTTTGTCTGAGAGCTGTTTAATTGGGGATAGCATGCAAACAAACACTTCTGTTCATTTGGCTTCCCACCCTCTTTGAGTCCCGAAGCATTTGAGTATCACGTTGCTCTTTGAAGCTGTCTTATTTGGGAGGTGGATTTCTGAAAGACCATGATGTGAAGTTTTGCTTTCTCATAGCTGTGACTTTCAGTGCCTAACAGCAGTTGGTACCCGTGATCTCTCAAGGTCAGCCTTTAAGCTGTGTAGTTAACACTTCACACAAAGATATACCTCACCAGTTTAACTTCCCTTTGTATTTGACTAATGATAACTTATTTACTCTTTACCAAATAATTTTTTTCAAATACTTTTGGGACCAAAATAGCAGCTTCAAAACTTTCAATAAGTTTAAAAAATGTGCCCACTTAATCCTTTGAAGTTCAAGAATAACCTTATTTACACTAGATAAAATCTGATTTCAGAGAGACATTTAAAGATAAGAAGTTTGTGCTTTCCAGTTACTTACTCATTTTTACATTTAGAAAATGTAATCATGAAAATTCATAAAGGTAAAATAATAGAACACTTATATTGCCTCCTATGCAAAATTACTCTGAACAAGTAGGAATGTGTCTAAGGAGACCTTGAAAGTAGGTTCATACATTATTTTCGTAAACTTCTGTACATGTAGTTGTTACTGTTACACGTTTATCGTCTGGAATTATTTTATTAAAAAAGTAATTGCTTTAACCTAATAAATCAGTTTGATTCTATTTTATTTTGATAGCTAAAAGAATACATCATGATTCACATTACAGCCACCCAATTTTATTATAGATTACAAAAGCTTAAGTTCTCTTTCTCAAAAGGACTGGGTGCTTGTTATTGTTCGTATGTTGTATTAAATCTTTGCCTTCTGGGAAATTCACCAGATGCAGACTAGAGCATGAAGGAAAGCCTTAAATACTGTATTCTGAAATGTATGAATCATTTGTTACAGCATCAGACATTTCCCTAATTTCTTAGAATATATCTTAATCTCGGTATCAAGGACATTTCATTCATTTTTCTTTCTGTAGTACCTTTATTGAACTAAACGAGTCACTGTTATTTAAAATTATTTTTTTCACTCTCAGATGCTTACAATTGTATTTCTTTTTTTCTGTCAGGTATTGTGGCAAATACTGATCATTGTCTGCTTCATAGTCCTTCCTTCCTGTTAACAGAACCATATTTTCCTTTGGCGTGGCTAAGTACCCAGCTCCTAGAAATGAAGCGTGATGGACCTAACTTAGTCACAGTGATCCCCTTCTTTGCCTAGTACTCCTTTCCCTTGCTTTCCTTACTGCTAGGGTTGAAGACTGGGCAATCTACTTCCTTAAAGACTTGATGGCAGTAAGTTTGGTTTTGGTTTAGGGTTGTTCAAATGAGCCCTGGTGTTACAACAGTTAAGTGGTTGACTGCCAACTGAAAGGTTGGTGGTTCGAATCCACCTAGCACCTGCACTGGAGGAAGACTTGAATATCTGCTTCCGTAAAGATGACAGCCAGGAAAACCCTGTGAGGCAGTTCTACTGTGTCACTTGGGGTTGCTGTGAATTGTAATTGATTCACCAGCACCCAAAAAAAACACCACCACTGTTGGTCATATTACCAACTTCTGGCAAATGAGAGTTAAGTGGAAGATTTCTGGGGGAGCCTGGATTAGACTTTTGTTTTGAAAAACATAGCTCCTAGTTACCCGAAAAACAACCCTGTCCCTAAAACATCTAGAAATGCTTTGTTAAATATAACAGATTTTTTTTTAACTCCATAGGAAAGTAAGAGAACTCTGTAGGGCCCCAAGTTAAGAGAGATCTGGAGATTAGAGTGGCAAGTTGGCTTTGAAGTTACGACTGCCTAATTTTTATTTAGGGCACTGCCTAAATAAATTATGTTACATTCTGAAAATAATGTATAGCCATAAATGGAATGAGGAAGCTTTCCAGGTACTCTTATGGAGAGCTCTCCAAGACATACTAAGTGACACATTAAACGGTGTATTACATGCTATCTTTGATAAAAAGAAAGGGGAGTTTAAGAATGAAACAATGGGAGAGTACATGGGAGAGACTGGGAGAGACAGCAGAGGCTGTCTGTGCACCACCCATATCTCTCAGACCTCTAGGTGTGCCTGGGTCAAATTCCTCCTGCCAGTGTCTGTGGCACTTTGCCTGAGGGAGCAGGCAGCTCTGCCAGAGCAGGCAGCATGCTGGGAGCAGCCCTCCACAAATGATCATCGCTTTTCAGATTAGATCATTCTCAAGTGTGTACAGAATAGAAATCTTTAACAAAGATTCCCCTAAATCCTATGTATCAATGAAATATAAATGCATAATTCTGAATAATTCAAGGGTCAAAGAAGAAATCATATTGGATTCTAAAAAGATAGAACTGAATAATAATGAAAATAATATATATCACAATGTGAGATGCTTCTAGAATGACAGATGCATCCACATCATCTTTGTTAAAATAATTATGCTATTATTATTATTATTTGTGGTATATAGGGCCCTCTGAAACTTGTGGCCCAAGACTTGTGGCATCTCTTATTTCGGATTTAAGAGGGAGCTCTGGTAGCATAGTGGCTAAAAGCACTTGACTGCTCACCAGAAGGCTGGCGGTTCAAACCCACCAGCCACTCCTCGGAAGGAAGGTTGGGCAATCCTACTTCCGTAGTGATACTGCCTCGGAAACCCAAGGAGGGGTCGCTATGAGTCGGGGCCGACTCGACGGCACATAACAACAACAACGACAAATTGGGAAAGAAACAAGGATAAGAATAAAATAATGAAATTGAAAACATATAATGGAGATGAACAAACTGACGATATTTTGAAATAATAAAATTGGTAAACCACAGGCACAATTTATTATTTTTTTTAAAAGGCATAAATATTTTTTGGAATAAAAAGAAGCATAACTTCAGATAAAGCACAAATCAATAAAAAAATGAGAAATGCTCTGAATAACTTACGCTAATATATTTGGAGACATAGACAAATTGGATGTTTTCTTAGAAAAGTATAGCTGAGAAAACTTCACTCAGAATGAAATAGAAAACCTGAATGGACCTATAATCATTAAAGACATCAACTCGTTAGCTAATATTCTGTCCACCAAGAAAGAAGCTGGGTTCTGTGTGTGC